TACTAGTTAAACCACAGACTTAGATTGCAGCGTCACTCATTGCACTACGTACGTTTCAATGCCTGAGCAACTGGCACTCTTGAAGCTTGAGACCAATGCCTCCTGAAAGACACCAAGGACATTTAGGGTAGAAACGTAGCCACGTCAAGCCATTTCCGGTAACCCTATTGGGTGCCACCAAATTGTAGTGCTACTTTGCTACATACGAGCGCATGAGCTGAAGTGAGGTATGTACTCCAGATTGATTTGTAATTCTTTATACAATGGAACGATGGTGTATTACTTTAAAAATAGCAATGTTTAACAAATCTTGTTGGATGAAAATTGCTGCGAAAAGAAACATTGATTTTAAAGGAAAAGGGTTTTGGTCGACTTATCACAGAGTGTAGAAGAGTCGAGATTTTTGCGTGATAAAGTATTAGTTCATAAATCCACATGTTAAATTCTGGAAACGCACCGTTTGCTTGCGCTCTGCAGCCCCGTGGCTAACACATTATAAATTAAATGGCAATGGGACAACGCTTTGTCAAATCGTTTTTTAGTATCTTTGGATTGGAGGCGGATGTGACATAGGTTGGGAGAACGTTGCATTGCTGACACATTCGGTGAAAGAAGAAATATCTACGGCATTGCAGCTGACTATACTGTGTCGCTGGTTTCAAAGGATGACCTCTTAGGTCTGTGTTGTGGTTCAGTTATAGCAGCGGTCTTCAAATGTGGTTTGAGTTCGTCAGAATCTGGTAAACTATTATGAACTTTCCCGCAAACGCCGATTTCGACTGCTGCACATTCTTAGGGACTTAAAGCTAAGTTGGTAAGGCAGATGGGAGAGGCCCAAAACCTTCTTGGTTGAGCTTCATTGAGGAGTCTTGAGAGCAAACAGATCTTGTTTCTGTCACGGATTCCACGCTTGGATGGCGTACTTCCCGTGCTGTCGCACTTAGATTTTGGGAATTTGTGGGAAGATTGTGGGGTCAAACCGACCGAACTTTCTGCGAAGGGGGTCGTAGTGTTGATCACCAGTCCCCGAAGCCTTCTTTGTTGGTTTTGAGCATCCGAGTTCGTCCTGTATCAATACACCCAAGTCGCGCTCCTGAGAAGCCTTCTGCTTCTGGTCTCCAAACTTGTACACGCTCACTGACTGGTGACGCAGGTGGATCACCTTGAACTTATCTATGTTCAATTGGATTTGGTTCCACGTTGCGCATTCGTAAATACAATCCATATCAAGTTGGAGGATAGGACACCGAGGGAGCGGCGAATAAACCACATCATACGGAACCCTCTACAAGCAACCTTCCTCCAATTGTCCCCAGAGTGAAGCAATGAGGTATGGGTGATACCTAGATCAACCTGCTGAGTGACAAAGGGAGTTCACTTCCACCAACTCCATAGCGCGTGGCAGGACTAGCACGTACAATGCGCAGGACAGAACATTTCGCCTGATTTATAGGTATCAACCATAAGGTTGACCAATCCCAGAGCCTATCCAAGACACTCTGAAATGCCTCAGTGCTACCAGGGATCTTCCTTGTTTTAATCGCCTGCCATATCTTGACAGCAACAACATAAAGCAGGAAATCGGAGGAGATAACTCCTGTCAGGTCGTTTATAAACTCAATGTTCCAGCAACAAGCTCGGTGGAACACCACATTCCACCTCAATTGGGATGGAGAATGACTCCTAACACGCACTTGAAGCCTCCGTTGGTGAAGAAAGTTACTAACCCAACCAAGAACAAGATATCTGATTCCGTAGCTATTTAGCCTGTGAAGTGGGATGCAGTCGTCCAGGCGGTCGAACGCTCTGGAAAAGTAGATGATGTCGACTCCGAACGTGTCATCAGCCACTTCCGTCCACTTACCTCGTACAATCAGTAGGTTGGTGGTGCATGACCAGCGTTGATGGGAGCCATGCTGTCCCGGTGCCAAGGGGGCGCGTTTCTCCAGGTAGTTCGTTAGAGCCTCAGCGACAACCGTTTCCATCAATTTCGAGAGCATAGGGAAGAGAGTCCCTGGGCGATAGTTTGCAGGTTCTGAATGGCTACCGCCTTTAAAGATTGGGATAATAATGTCATGTTTCCACATAGTAGGAAGTTGCTGTTCATCGAAGCAAATTCGTAAGAACTGTGGCAGTGACTCGGCTAGCTTGGTGGCGGCAGTCTTCAGTGCTTTCGGACCCGTGTTGTCGGCTCCCGGAGAGCTATCATCGTGCAATAAGAGCAACTTCCTTAGCACAGTTGTTGGGTTGAAATTACATGTGTAAACGTGGAGCCGGTAATGTGCTTCATGGTGTGTAGCAGGGACAGGCTGCGAGTTCGAAAATTGGACCGCAATGTAGCTGCAGAGCACTGGCTGCTTCATCAGCGCTCTGTACACTACCGCCCATTGTGAAAAGTGGAGGGAAACCATGCTTTGCTTTACAAAAGCCGTTGACATGCTTATACAGGAGTTTATTGTCTACCAAGAACATTTTGGCAAGGCACTGTTGATAGGTTTACCTTGTTCTCATGGACAAGTGTGGTACAATGGTTGCAATGGATCAGGAAATTGTCCCAAGTCACTGAGTCGGCGCTTACCTTGCTGCTTACCATACTGCATCTCTTATCGCCGTTCATATACGAGTCCTGCTCCTTAGAGCTGACGGCGCGTTTGAGGAACGAAGGGGTTAGTCTCGGACGCTCTGTTGACCATGTCACTGAGACTGTCGATGAACTCTGTCCAAACGGTGTCAAGGGGACTGCTTTTCGGGAACTCCCAAGTGGTTGCCTCGACGAATTATTTCAGGACATGGTAGCGTGTGATTTTATGACTTATTTCTAAGTGTTTAGATGGATACTCTGCATAACAACCATATTTAAAGCTTATTACTACATGGTCGCTGAGGCCTAATGGACTCTTCATCAATTAAGTGTCGATCATGAGCTTGGTTGGTGGGAATGTGCTCAATTTGCGTCCACGGTTGGCCAAGTATTGGGGATCTCCAGGTGGCGCGATGGCACTTACTTCGCCAAAAGTTTGTACATGACAGAAATAGATCATGATCGGAAATCGTTGTCTGTCCTGCGAATACCATAGCCATGTTGACCATAGAGTTCGCGTTCGGCATCCTCATGTCTGCCGACCTGTGCCTTTAGGTCACCAGCAAGCGCTACGATATTCGGTACCGTATTTATTTTCGAAGAAAATCAGATAGTTGGGAGTAGGGCTCATCTTTACTCGGCTCGGATTGTGGTCTATTGAGGCATATGCTGCTATAACGAACAAACAATACCTACTAACTGACAATTGGACAGTCGCACTAAGTTTACTAGTCGAATGATGCAAAACCGGCAGTTAACAGTGATCCAGTTGAGCAGCGCCGTTTTAGTAAGTGTATTCAACTCAAGTCACACACCGGCATAACCAACGACCTCGTTCGTAGAGTCTCCAGATAAGGGCATTGCGAGAATAGTAGTGGAACTCGCAGGCGGTGAAATCAGCCTTAACGTCGTACTGGAACCCTGTGAACGAGTCACAGTGAGGCAAGGAATATCCTTCACTTGTTGCTAGAGTACTATCAAGGGTTGGTTCTGATCCAATTTACATCAGTGTCCAAATGTTGAAAGGCGCCAACTTGAATTGGAAAGTTCGGAAAAATTATCAATCTGATTAGACGGTGCACCGTCGAACCTACACTCCTGATCCATGTGATGAGTTCTCCCGCATAATGTGGCACTTTGTTGTGGACTCAGGAACAGAGAGGTGTACCAAGGATAGTGGGACTGGACAGACGTAAAATAAAATAACTGGACGGTGGTGCGGGACAGCGGGATTTAGCAGAATCGACGGCTATCGCCTACGCCAAAACTAGTAACTCCACAAACTAGAGAACGAGGATAGAAACATTGAAACTACGGCCAATAGGTTGCGTGTGCATAGTACTAGCCGGTTGGTCAGGCTGAGAAAGAGGGTCGGCTAAGGTGATCCCACCCAGAGTCTTGAGTCGTAACAAACTGACCCTTAACGCAGCGGGGCGATTAACGTACATCGCGAATCGTTAGGAGTTGGCAATGAAAGCGAGGATACTACGGAATTTACGTAGTAACAAACTGTTCAGGGTTTCCGAAGAGTCCAAGTATAAAGGCCGTGGAAATTCCCTTCGAAAGCGGAACTTGTTAATAGCGTTAAGGCCGTTGACATCCAGTTTTCTCGAACGCCTTCGTATTGCTCAGTTCACGGAGAAGTTGGCAATTAGTATGGTTCATCCGCTCTTCGTTGTGTAGTTACTTTTGGTTGTAGAACTTGGTAGTCGGTGACCTTATATCCGGTCACATTGGCTTTGACACAGCGCTGTACGGGCTATTGTGATGAGTTATAAAGAGACCAGTTGAGCAACCCAGAAGCCCCACGCACTAAGACGCAGCCGCCATTTGTCCCCGATTTTGTAGCTATCTCATCTACAAACAGACTAGAACTATTTACAGTAACCTTCGGAAGGAATGAATTCCATGACCCGCCACTTGGGGACAGAACCGGTAGCGTGCAGCTACACCAAATCGCTCAGTAGTCAGTTCACTTTCTGGAGTATGTTCATTTCCGTAAACATTAGGTTCTCATTAAAGTTGCACACCGCTATTCTTTGATCTACCTATTCCAATTCTACATTTGACAGAACTTTTCGAACGACAATGGTAAATTAGATGTTCATGAGTTTCATCTTGGGTAGGACCGCAGGACTGCAGATTATCTAAGGTGCTCTAGCCATCGTAGTGTCTGATCTTATTCAGGCTAAAACATTTCCCCTAATACCCAAACAACAATGCCACGTGATTCACGTTCCGATTCCATGGACACCGCGAGGTTCCTTATTCTTACAAGTAATTATCGTAAGGAGTTTACAGTTTCTGAATTTTCTAACGGCTAAGGGCTTAAAGATGTGTCCAACATATTCGTCAGCTCGGTTCTCGTCTAGGTGGTCTTGCTATATAATACAAAACGGTGGAATTCTCTATCACCTACCTGTGTTGTCGGTCCTTGTGCATGTCCGGCGGGACACTGACACATGGACGCAAAGGTACTGAATGAAACGACCGGAGCAATCAGAGTCGCCTCTGAGACAGTTAGAAGTACTGGAACTGGAGAGGTCAAATTGCAGATGGTTCGCTGAGCAATATGCTGCTCATTGTTGGCCAGAACATCTCGGTGACAGTCAGATAAACAGTAAACCTCTTCCTGCGGGCATCCGGGTGAAGGCGGTTGCCTAAGGAACGCTGAAAGGCGAAAGTGGATAGGATGTTTTAAAGCATCTGATACAGTATAAAATTTCACGCGAAAGTTAATTCGTTTATTTGAATACATAATATCCCTAGTTTTCGCCTTTCGGGAAGTATTCACCATACCATCGAGCGCTAGGTTCGCTACTTATTCTATTCAGAAGCGTAAACTTTCTATCTTTATCTGCCGACACGATATCAGTGCATGCAAAAAGCAGTGGCGTAGCAACTACTGTTGCTACCCGGGGGTGGCAAAATTTTCGCCCTGAATGAGGGCAGAATAGGCGCGTAAAAGCCACACAATCGGCTCAGGGTAATGTGCACATTAGTTTTCGGTGAAATGGATGATCATGTGGGACACTGAGGTAAATGTGATGAAAGTGACCACAATGGGATAAGTAAGGATATTGCTAGGAAGAAGGTTCGCACAGGGGTGAGACATGGCGCAAAGTTGTTGTTGGTCCTACAAAGTAGCATTACAATCTTTGACCCACAGCTTCTGCGCATATTTTGCTCTTTATATTTGTTACCGAAAGTTCGACTGTACTAAAACTGCCGCCCCCTGTCACATGCCGCTCGAGGCGGACCTGTCCTGCGTGCAGACAGTTGTTTGTTACTCCTCGGGTGCCTTGGTCCTAAGACCATCGCCGCCAATCATCTCACCACATTTGCGTGGTATGATAACCCTATTTTTATTCTACTGGTGCGAGTACCATGCACCACACGTGGGCACAGGTACAAACTCGTGGTACCTGATCTGAAGAAAATCCCACACCCCCTGTGTTTCGAGCGGAGGGTTGTGCACGCCTGGAACAGTCAGCCAGAACACGTCGTCGAGGCCGAATCTGTGCAGAAATTCAAATCTTTGTTGGATTTACACTTCGCTAACATACGTTTCAGAGAACGGTTGCCACTTGACAACGATATCACCCACTTGTGACTCACTGTGTGAACAAGCATTTTGTGTGCTACAGAAGGAGTTGCTGAACCATCGCCGCCGATCATCTCACCACATTTGCGTGGCATGATAACCCCCTTTTTATTCTACTGGTAGCGATGAGACAATACGAAATGCGCGTATTTACCGGTATTCATCTACCCAGTGTGTAGTTCAAAACTTGTCCGCAAGCTATTTATGGAGCACTCAACGTGCAATACGATGCTAGTGAGTAATATTGGGAAACATGAGTGTTGCTTTCTTGACAAGTAGAATTATGAATTGTGACGCAAAAGTGCCATTCTGCTTATCAAAACACGCAGCAGCTATTCTGTGCGAACTATACCATTTCCCGGCCAAGTTGTCCGCTTGGGCAACAGAAATAATCTGAGGGGGCATTCAACATGAGTCTACTCAATTAATTTGTTCCGTGCGTATGCCAGTCACTTGTGCAGGTGTGCAGGTGTGCGTGTATAGCCCGTCGCCTTCAGTCAATTGGACCTCAGACGCACTAAGTCATAGGGGTGCAGGTGGGACGCTTCAGCTCCTACGCCGGGAACAAATTAACTGAGTAGACTCATGTTGAATGCCCCCTCAGATTATTTCTGTTGCCCAAGAGGACAACTTGGCCGGGAAATGGTGTAGACTGGCACAAGTTCTGGTACCATACCGGACCAATGCTTGAGTTGGAGCAACGACCTCATCGACCATCGTCAATTACACTTGTCCTTGTTCCTTGAACGGTTAACCATGACTTGTTGATCCAACGAAAGTCAACGGTGTGGCAGGGAGGCTTACCCAAGTGACAGCCGAACGTATATTTTCCACTAATGAAACTTTTGTTGGTTGCTGATGCTAGTTTAATATATTCACAATCGACAATGTAAAATACCGAAAATACACCCAACTGGCTTTGATGTGCATTGATTTAAAATTGGTCGGGAACAAACCGACGTGTTTGTCAACGGATCATTATGTGTACGGATGATCAAGACGTCCATCTGATATTCTTGGAGTCGCGGATGATGTTAATATTTAGCAAATGACCAAGGGAATGCAGTGCGAACTTGATGAGGTCTCCAATTGGTCGGCGTGGAATACAATACCATTCCATGTAGATATGGGTCGAGATGTTCACACTCGTCACTAACATGTCTACCCCTAGAGCTCGGAATGCACCAACTGCAGACCACTGCTCAGAAATGTGACCTTAATTTGATCGTACAGAGCGAGCTCGGCTGTTCCAGACCGGCTGAGTCCCATTCAGAAAAGGTTACCGGCGCGTTTTTATCTTGCAGTGGGTATTCGGGAGTTTGGGTTAATTCATCTTCTCTCTGATACCCAATGCCCGCATGCGCCCCCAAGTTAAATACGCTGTGCGAGCTTCGTAGTTCTGGCCAAAGTTTCATCATTATCATCATCATCACTATACACGTTAGCTATATGTGGGTACACTTCAGCCATTGTGCAGAAATATACCAGAAAGTAATAAAGCGACGCAACACAGGCGCGCCAGCTACGCCACCAGCAACAGATGTACATTGTTCCTGCGAGCTAGCAGCCGGCAGCTGTGCCCCAAAATATGAGTAATATTATGCCTAGGAACTGAGATCGTGGTTAGAAGAGAAGGCTAAGCGGGAGGGGGAGGGACAAAGAAACTCACAACACAAACGCCGCTGATGTCGGCTCCTAGCCATAACAACACATGTATCCAGCCAACCTGTTCATCATCTTTCGGGATCCAACCGAGGCTCCAGCCGAGCCTGCACAATGTCGGACAAAGGAAGCTCACTTTTTTACTCCACCCTTCGTTCCAACAACGGCGTTAGAATATCGGAGTGCCTAGTGCACGCTACCGTAGCCACCTAGAGACTTCGTAATGAGATTCCAATTACTAGGTGATTCTGATCACGTATGCCGCCACATTTTGAAGCTCTTCCAGACACTAATTTGAGAGGCAATCATCAGGTAAAATTGGATTAGTAATACAATCGCCTAGATGCTCGACAAAATCACTTCTCCACTCGGGTCTATAAACCCAGAAACGCCATTCCAAACTCAGTTGTTTATGTCCCTACTGAAAACAGCTTAGGATAGCTTACTCAGCCCTCCTGCAAGTTGTTACATATATAGATACGCTGGAATGCATTACAGTGGAATGGATTCTTTGGAAGTATAGTCCACTGTGACGCAGGTAAATAGGTAAAAGCGAGTGAGCAATCCTACAAGAAGCCTTAACTAGAATAATGTGTCGCGCTGCTTTGCGTAATGCCTGATCGTTTCCATTATCTTGTTTCTAATACATTTTCATCATGTTATCTCACTGATGCGCTTTTGTTTTGTTTTCATGAAAAGATCTTTGCCTTGCAATTCTCGCTTTGACCACCCCACGGGGCTTGACAAGCATATTCTATTTTGCCCGTCATGGTCATTGTTCTATTCTTTTATTACTAACTGGACTACTCAAGCTTCAGATTGGAAACGACTACGAAGTTGATCATGAGTGTGACGCGGAAACCAATCGATTCAATTACAGCTCTCTTCAAGTTATAGCCCGAAGACTACCAAAAGTCAGAGCCAAGTAACTCAACTAGTGCATCGCAGCCCGAATACACAGCGGGTATGTCTAGCACGGTGGTTCTCAACATTTTTGAGGCTGTTACCCACAACACGGGTTCACTATAAACAATCAGTTAAGTTTTAAAAGCCAATTTACCATTAAGTAATACATTTTTTGCTTTAAATGAATATCATTTTTAGTTTATTTCCGGTAATGAAATACAGAAAACGCTCATTGTTGGTGAATCGTTAACTAAGCAAGAAGTGATGTATATTACTGAGACGGTTGATATTGCTTAGTTCTAACACTTTCGGATACTTTTAATGTGATTTCTGCTCATATACATCGTAAGTCATGCTCCAAGTTCATTCGCTTACTTGCTTGGTGCGTGATCCGTGACTATATTAACAGATGTCGGTGGCTTCTCATTTGTTGCAACCATTCTTTCCAGTTTCTTCCTGGGAGACAACTTACACCACCATTCAGCATCGATACGATCTGAACACTAATCACCCGTTTTATCCCTTCTGCCTTGTAAACATTCGCTCGCTCTACTAACTGGTCGGCTGACCTATGCTCCCACTTCAATGTTCAATCAACTCTGTAGTACGACCAGGCGAAAGACTGCCCGACTCGAAAGAACAAAGATCGACGAGCGAGCCGATAGAGACGTCATCTAGATGCGCTTCTTTGCAGGCTTTTAGTCGTATATTAGGTAAGAAAATTTATTATGGAATATTATCTAGTTCACTGATCACTTACTAATGCTTGCTGATGACTAATCAATAGTGGTCAGTTATTTAGTTACATGTTATGATACAGATGGTTTTGTCATTTATTTGTTTGGCGACAGACTGATGACCGTAAAGTTCCATTTTACCCCCTTGGGGGTAATTAGCCCCAAGTTGCGAACCACTGGTCTAGCAGAATGTGAATTTCCAATCGTCGTCTAAAATGCCGTTGGTAATTGGTGACTACTCAGCGCTCAAACGTTTGTTAGATAGCTGCGAGGGCCCATGTTTGACTTCCAGACTTGATGTATCCACCCGAGGAGCGAGTACCAGAAAGTCTCCACTTAGAACGCAGTTTTGCTATGTGGTTCGTTCCCCAGTTGGTTGTTACAAGTAGGGACATAACACGTACCAGGACACGACTGTGTAGTGCGTATCCGCGATCAATGCAGGTCCGCTTGATCAAACGCACCCGTATTCACATCATCAGTCACGTGCTCCACTCGACAGGCTCTGTCTCATGATAAGCAATCACAACATTGGTTACACTCTTCACCCTGGAAATTTAGGAGCGACACATGAAACTATTCATTGTAAAATATGTATTTCTGCTGCCTTCACATATGGCATGATCCAAAGACAC